CAAAATTTCCCTAGTGCGTCAACTCTAGTCTTAATATAGTCGGTAGGGCGGTATGACAAAGAACAATTTTTGTTTGCAATACACAAAAAGCATTAGTTTTTTTAACTTAGTAGTATATGTAGGCATAATAATTGTAAACGGAACCATCAGCAGTTAATAAAGCAGTAAGTGTACCAGGAGAACAAGGGCGTTGGAACCTGTCCGCATAATCACTCGCCAGGAATGTCGCTTGCCATAATGAGCTCCTGTCTTAACAGATACGGACGTAAGAAGGGGCCCTGGTATAAAAAGACAGGACGCTAATATCGTCTCTATTAAATTAATGCAAGATTAAGATCTATGTACACGTTTCTGTTGCCTTTGTGTGAATTTGATTAACGTTCTACTATATTCAATTCTTTAACGATTAAGGCGCTGCACGCTGCTTGAAATTATCTTGCTTCTGTACCTAGATGTATGGAAAAAGATAGTATGAAATAATAACATTTGAAAAACATCGAACTGTGCTGTACGATCTTAATACCGTTGCCCATATACCAAGAAAAAATACTTATGACAAAGATTTTATGTAAAAAAATCGGAAAAAAAAACAAAATGGTGAATGGTGGGTTACAGTTTTTACATGAACTAATTTATAGTTTAAGTTTAAAGCAATTTGAATTTTGTTAATTATTATATATATGTTATAATTTTAAGCTGATGGCTGTAGCAAATGCTCAATATTTTTTTTTAGCATTGGCTATAAAGCCATCGGTTTAAAATGGTAACAAGTAATTAAAAAAATTCAAAAGAATATACTTATAATAATAATGAAACAATAAAACTACAAACACTGTGTCTTCAAATACCCGCCATTTTTTTTCATTGTTCAGGAAATACATTAAAAAATATATATGTTCAAATAGGGATTTGTTATTTAAAATTCGAAAACTGCGCCACACATTTCATTTACCAATAAATTTGTTCAAATGTTAAATTTTATAAAACTTTTCCTCAAACCTTAGTACTTTCGGTAACGTGTTCCGAGTTTTTGGCACCATTACAAAAATACTTGTTATGCATGAAAGTGGTTTTACAGGATTTAAAACAAGTTGGTCGTTATCGTCTTGGCTTTAAAACATGTATGTACAATGTATAATATATCAGGCATTCGGACAAACATACCATAGTAGACTAAGAACAATTTTGGCAGTTTTGTACAGCCTATTCGCTGTTGGCAAAATGTACAGTGCAATATGGTTTTTACTATACCAAGTGACGGGAATAGCAATTTCTGCACCTGGTGGTAAGCAAGGCTTGTCTTTAGCAGTTGCAGTGCCATTCAGAGCTTTTAATCGCAAAAACCTGAGGAACACTGCTACTGAACATTACATCCTGGGGTGGAGCCACTAAGTCTGCGATGATGGAATTGGAAAGAGCACAGAGAGTGTTGCTGAAAGTGTGCTTGTTTAAGCCGCGAAGATTTCCAACGACGCAACTTTATCACGATGCAGATGTTCTCTCTGTTCGTCAAATCTATATTCTGCACACGGTACTTCGACAACACTCTAATATACGTATTGATAATTAGATTAGAGTATCCACGGCTAGAAGATCCTATGCAGTATGTAAGACAAATAAGGTTTGTACTTCCTTTGCTTCGAGGTTTTATCATTATCATCAATATAAATAAAAAATTTAATATAGTAAATGCATGTAAAATCGCAAACAAAAATAAAATAGCTAAATAGCTTAAGGTACAGAATTACGACGAAACCGAAAGAGTACTTGAAATATTAACATAGTTATAAAATATGTACTACCTAATAACTTGTCTCGCGCCCGGGCAAGCAAACACACACACACACACACACACACGCACACGCACACACACACACACACACACACCCCAGACATGCATTTTGTTAATTGTTAAGTGCTTACGTTTCAAGTCACAATTATTTCCGTGGTGGGGGGGCCTGGAAGCTATAGCACAGGTTTCGACCTAGTTTAGATTCCAGCTTCCTCACAAACTATAATTAACTATACAACTAGTACTTATTAATATATGTAACAAGAATTTTGTAGTTTGTGATGGTACTAATAAACTATTTTCATTTTCATTTTTCATTACTGCACCCATCACCCTGAGACACGAAGTTGACAAATCAACTCTAATTATTTATTTTTAAAAAATCGAACACTCCCGTGCCAGACGCTATACCAACTAAGCCACGGAACGAACCAGCGGATCTCACGAATGTGCTTGTTGTCGTATCTTTGCATTTGGATTTTTCAACGGCTTTTTAGCCGTAACTAAAGAAATCTATGAAAGTATTTCGTCACCCAGTTAGATACCTTTACAGCTACCAGCCCCGGCTAGAGATGTCGCTATTCATTGTATTTAAATTTTTATTGAATTGATATTCAATTATTTTTATGTGAAATTACTACACTTGTTTGTTATGATTATTAATGCAAAGATAAAATAACAAACTAGTGTAGTAATTTCACATAAAAAATAATGACGCAATGATGTTCACATTACTGCGTGGCGGCAGAAATAATTATGGTGGCAGTACTACTACTTTTTAGGTAGATAACATTGACTTACAAATAAATGGACGACGGATCTAATACAAAAACCACGAAAAAAATGTCCCAAGTCAACCTATTTAAACGTAGTGACATGTAAAGGAATATGAAAAAGCTAAAACGTTGAATTTAAATTGTAATGTCATCGCAGTACTGTCTAATTTTGCTTGCTTCGCTGTCAGTCGAACAAACGAAGACTAAAGCGTGAATGACGCTCTGTATACGATTTTAACACCCTATAAGTTCGGACACTTTTTAGCGCGGACCCGACGTCCATATAATTGTAAGTCAATGGTAGATAAATAATGCTTTTATTATTATTATGACAAAGATTTTTCTTGAACTCGACTCAAGATCGGATATCGGAACCATGTCCGGGCCTAAGTCAAGTATTCTGGGTTCGGTTGTGTTATTCTAATGGGATGAGAGTGAGTGGTGATTTCGTGTAGAATTAGTTGTATCAGGTGTATTTTGGAGTGACCTCATGTTAAAGAAGCGTCGGACTATCGAGCAAGTCTCTATAATAATAATAAATAATACAATTCAAAAAAAAAATCTGTTGCCTCTTTTAAATTAGCCTATAAGAAGTTTTTATTATCAACTCAATTATAATCTCATTACATAAGGTAGTCGTGCATTGCTTGCAAAGTTCTTAAAAAGTGATCAGAGCCAATTTGTACAATGTGTTAACACTATTCACCTCACTTACACTACATATACTCACCTCACTTACACTACGTATACTCACCTCACTTACACTACATTATAATCACATTTTTGGTATTTATTTCATTTTTATTATTATGTATCTATGTTAGGATTAGTTTATGGTTTTGTTTAATATTTTAAGTTTTGATTATATTTGTAATTAAGTTTTATACCAGCTAATCTTTATATTTCTTTTTGTTTTATTTTTATCTTACTTTTTTGTCCATATATGGCGCCACTGAAAACCAGCGTAATGAGGCGTTCTTCAACGTCTCATTACAAAAAGCTGAGTGGTGACCGTTTTGGTAACATATAATGTATTTGTTTTGTATTATTTATTGTAAAATGTTGCCAAATAATTTATTTTCCTTTCTTTCTTTCTTTCTTCAATTGACTTTTGCAGAAATATGTAGGTTTTAGGGCGCAGATCTATCATTTTTAAGGCTTTTCGGTATGATACCAGTTGACTAAATTATAATGGAGACTATCTTAATAGTTTCTTGGTGCCACATTTGTTTGATTTCGTCTGCTGAAGGTATGTATTTTTGTATTTTTTAACTGTGTTTCTGTTTTAGATTGCTTGTATTGGGAACGGCAATATCTATGAGGTAGATGGTGTTTGTAGATTTGACAGTTAGTGTTATGTCAGGTCTGTTGCTGAAGATAGTGCGGTCGTTGATGATATCTCGATGTCAATAGAGTTTTACTTTATTATTTGCCAGCATATTTTTCGGTTTATATTTGGAGTAGGGTGTATGTATTTCTGTCAGACTATGTTTGAGTGCAAGTTGTTGGTGAATGTATTTGGCAACATTGTCATGGCGGTGTGTGTAATATTTGATGGCGAGTACGCTGCAACCTCATTTGTCTGTTTCTATTGACTCTATTAGGATGTATTTGGATATAATTGTTATTATTATTACGGCCACACGCAAAATAGGCCCTTGACGTCGAGTTGCTTACACCAACCCGTTGCACCAAGTAGGGGAAACCAGGGCAGAATGAGCCCCCTAATGTTTAACATACAATTAAGATCTCTATGAAGGAAAACAACAGAAATCAAGTCATGGAATCATATATTAATTGTTTTAGGAACATAATAATTGCACAATCATTAGGAACAAATAGTAATATCACTTAAAAAAAAATGTTATAAAAAAAAGTGGAAATTTCCCGTTCTACCCCATACCACGGGGGAGAATGAGCCACCAAATAACGAAAGATAAAATGAGTTCTACTCGAGATAAACTTCGTAGATTAATTTAAAGTTACCATTATCACCTTCTAAGCTGATAATGATATTACATGAAGCATTTTTTTTAACTGGACCATCCTTTTATAAAAATCATATTACAGGCCTTTCTATATAGATATTTGGTTTCTAAGTCTCTTATTTTATAACAGGTATGAAGATAAAAATCTTAATTTTGGTTTTTCAAGAACATAACCATATCACAATGTAATAAAAATAATAATAACAATCACTTAAAAAAATTTGGCTTAAAAAAGTGGATAATTCCCATCCTGCCCCATACGTCTGGGGCCCACCAAAATCGAGTGATTCACTAGATAGATAGGGTTTTACTGGTCACAAAATTCGCAGATAAGCACTGAATCATCGTCATCACTGTCTAAGCCAGCACAAGACATATGGGCCCATTTCTTGCAACTTTGACAAGAGCACCATCCTTCTATAGACTTTGAATATCTTTCATTACAGTAAAGGCATTTGGTGTCTTCATCTTCTTTTCCGTCATCGGAGCTTTCTAAGGATAATTCTTTCTTTTTACTGCTTTTACCCTTAGCACTTTTAGCAGCTTTCTTTTTCGTATCTTTACTTCTATCGCTTAACACTTTCTTAGTTATTCTATCCACTTTCGCTTTTTTTACATTTTCAGCCTTCCTAAGTGCTTCTTCCAACTCTAATTTATACGGAGATGCTGTCAGAATTGAAGTCTTGCCTCTCTTTCTAGTGACTCTTTTTTTTCCTGCTGGCACTTTGGGGCATGGCATGATATCTTTCGGAGAAGCATGAATAAACGAACTAGAAACGCTTTTTCTTACTGGACTATCAGGCATCCATGAACAACCTGCTCTTGGTTCATTTTCAGATTCATTTTGAGAGCGCAAATTCGTTATATCTTGGAGGATCCCATCACCACTCTCTGGGACATGATCAGGTGGTTGTTTTTGTGATGACACAGTTTCGGCAGATATTAATAATAAGAGTAAGGAATAAGATGCATAAGGTCAGCTTTTATAAAATAATTAGGAACACAGAATGGGGCAGAATGGGCTAGGGGCCGATTCTGCCCCGCCCATTGTGCCCCAGGATTAATGTTTCACACAAATAGAGATAACTTATTGATTTTTAATAGAAATAGTAAACATGTGCTAATAACATGAATATAAATAGTCCATCTAGCGATTAGTATTACAAGCTGTAAAAATCTATGAACACAAGAAAACTTACCTTCAATCAAAAATCAGTCAAAATTGTAACAGTCCTTGAATTATTAATATACCGGCGATATATTTTTATGGCGAGGATAAACAAAAGCGACGTGCGGTTACATTAGTTCACTGTGAGTGACTGACTGCGTTTAGAAACATCGGGCGATAAATACGCCCTCCCCCCGCACCGCGTGCCCTTTTCCTGTTCTACCCCGGGGGCCCGTTCTGCCCTGGTTTCCCCTACCAAGTACGGATTCCGTAGTAGTACAGCATGCACACGTTATGGCGTATCGTTTGATTATTTATTGTTACAGTTATTTGCTTCCCGTTAGTGTGTTATTTGTGTCTATTATCAAATTGTTGTTTTTTTTCCCTTTTTTTAATTCGATTTCTTTTTTACATGTTATAATCGTGTTTCGTAATTGTTAAATGTGCTGTGTTGTTTTTTTATGGAATACTTATTTCTTTCTTTGGAAATCGTGTGAAATCTCCGACCCATATTGGGCTAGCGTGGTGGACTATTGCCTAAACCCTCGCCCGAGAGGAGACCCGTGCCGGACGTATAAATGGGTTGACCAAGTGAAGTGAAGAATCCATTAATTAATAGATTAATTTTTGACTTAACTTGACTCGTCGATCCCTCTCTGTCGTGTATTTAGTTTTTATGTGTACCACGTTAGTTTGCTTTTTAATCGACCATTTACTTTCTAACCGACGTCAGTTAACTTTTACGGAATCTCCGTACTCTGACACGTACCGTTTGACTGAGCCGCATTAGTAGGAAAACCTCATTATAAATTTATCTAGGTTAGTGTAAAATCCTCTTTGAATTAAATTTTAAACCGACTTAAAAAAGGAGGAGGTTATACGTTCGGCTGTGTGTATGTTTGCAGATATCTCCGTCAATTGTGGACCGATTTTGAAAATTATTTTTTTGTTTCGATGGGTGCACTCTTTTGGTGGTCCCATTGTCACCAAGTCAGAATCTGATGAGGGGATGCCATGGAAATCGAAGGAAACCCTCAAATTTATAGGCATGTCCGTGTATTCACCAATTTCTCCATCAATTGTGCACCGATTTTGAAAATTCTTGTTTTGTTTGAAAGGGTATAATCTCCAGGCGGTCCCTGATGTTGTTCCGGGTTCGTTTCGGCTATCACAAATGGCCTAATTATTTTCCTCTAATAAAAGTCGACTTTTCACTTGACACAATACATGTTTAATCAATAAATCACCAGAACAACCAGAAAATAAAATATAAAATGTACACAGGAATCCGTAACAGTCCCATTGTCACCAAGAAGTCAGAGTCTGATGAGGAGATCCCATGGAAATCAAAAAAAGCCGACAAGCAAACTTTCGGTCGGTTTGAGGTGTCGGTGTGAAGTCGGTTTTTTTTCAATAAAAAAGTTAGAAATATTATTAAACGAGTTCTTCCGACGGCACAGAGGCGTTAATGCGTTCAAGTTAAACCGTGCCGGTCCAAAATGACTGTGAGTTACTTATACATTTTCCTCAAGAGCTGGTAAACTGATTACCATGCGGCTTTCTGTGTAATAATCTCTCTTAACTTCAAAGTTAGTTTAATAGAAACAGAAATACAAGTAACAGTATAGCTACTCGTGAATGAGTTCGTCTAGGGAAGTACTGCCACAATATTACTGCGTTCCAGTTTTGAAAGGTTAGGTACTGTTGAGACTACAGGTATTTGGGAGTTGTCAACTTACGTCTCAAGGTGACAGGCGTAGTTTTTTTTTTATTAAGTGATGGGACGAACAAGTCGTGCGCCTGATAGTAAACGACACACCTGTCCATAACAAACTGTCTAACGGTCTGTCATTTGAAAAAAATAAACAACTTCAAAAATACGTCACGACAATCGTGTGTGTTATTGTTTGGGCTGGTGATTTTGGCGTTTATTTATTGAAAACATACCGTAAGTAGCGTTTTTTAAGTTTACCCTGAATATAAATGTTTATAAACTATACTTTAAGGAGTAATTTCATGGTAAACGTTAGAACCACTCAAACGGAATATTATCATATTTATCCAAGTACACCAAAAATTTCATTAGTGCTTGTTAAGTGCAGGATTTGCGGTGTATTACTGCATTTTATTTGAGATGTTTTTCTTGGTAGTAAGGAGGGTATTTATTTAGCAATGCAGAACAAAGTATTTTTATTTATAAAAACTTGTATTTAAACTGAATGATTTTCTAATTCGCGAAACTAAAGAGCCGCCATTTTGCGGTAGGAAGAGCGCATCGCGTGAGCGGGTAATGAGGCGTCCTCCAACGTCTCTTTACAAAAAACTGAGTGGTGACCATTTTGGTAACATGTGATATGTAAAGTTTTAGTAGAGTTTTATTTTGTCATTATATAATTTTTACTTCGTTACCAAATAAGTTATTTTTCTTTCTTTCCTTTCTTTCTTCTCTCTAACAATTGCAGTGCCACTCAGAGCTTTAGATCGCAAAGATCTGAGGTGCACTGTCTCTGCGCCCACCAGGCTGAGACATAAGTTGAAAAGTCCCATGTGCCTGTACGCAGTTATGCTCAAATTACTGCTTGGCGGCAGAAATAGGTTAGGTGGCAGTACTTGCCTGGTGACAGTGAGCTTTAGATCCTTGCGATTAAAAGCTCTGAGTGGCACTGCAACTGCTACGGACAGGCGTGTCGCTTAACAGCAGGGGCACGACTTGTTCATCCTGTTACTTGGTAACATAAAAAAGTCATTACAGATCCTTGTTTCTGGCTTTAAGTACTTTTTGCCGAAGCGCCTATGAGAAATCTATGAAAGTATTTTCTCAATCTGTAGCTCAGCGGTCGCCCTGAGACATATCGCAGACGCAAGTTCAAGTCCTGTTAGATCAAAGGAATATTTCTTTGTGTTCGATCTTTGTATTAATAATTATAACAAAGTAGTGGAATAATTTTACAAAAATAAATAAATATCGTAGCAAAATAGCGATGGGCTTTGTTCCTAAAAATAATGTTATAAATATAATCGAAATAATTCGATTTTTTTATATCTTTAAGGCCTAATTCCCACTATCCGCCGGTTCGGCACTTGGACTAGGTGTTCACATTAAGTCGGATCTCGCAAGAAAACCGGCGACTAAAGCCCTTATTCTTGTGGCGATGTGGTGGTATCTTAGAAGGCTTAATAATAAAAAGCAAACATTGAGTACATCCTATTTTACGGTAAAGATTTTTAATGGGCCAACTCAGAAGTAACGAATCAAAGTTCTTCAATTATTTTCAAATGACAGCATCCTCTTTTGATGATTTATTGGGATGACTTTTGTCGTCATTCACATTACTCCGGTTCGGGCGTTCTGCCGGCGCCGGCGGTCCGCAGTGACAAACGCTTCGGCAACAATGCAGAGCCCGGTATTCTTGCCGGGTCCGGCGTAATGTAAATAGCTTCATATAAATTGTACAGCCACTAACATTTCCGGTAGTTTTACCGACCTGGCAAATTCGGCGATCGGCGGCATAGTCGGAACTAGGCCTTAGTTACTACACTTCACTTATTGATCGTTGATCAAATATCGATTGTGAATCGAAATAGTTACTAATCTACTGGTTACTAATTTTTGATTGTTGCTCAAATATCGTAATAGGATTCATTGTTATTATATTAGTAATACGATCGATTGGTACTAAATAAGTAATAGTATCGGTTTTTTTACATTCCGTACCGTAGTATAGAGGACCTTTTTTTATAATTTAATAATAACTACTAAATTAGTAACTATATTCAATTATTATTCGGCAAACACGACTAAATCGAAAATCGAATATGAATAGTGCAACTATCGATTTATTAGATTTTTTTTAGGCAATCGCCCATCTCTTTAATAAAACATTCTAATATTCATTACACTCATTAGTTACAAATAAATTTCTAAAGCAACTCTCTTATTTAATGCCGTGTAGGTAAATAGAGTGTTTAACCGGTCGGGTTAGCCAATAACCACATCATTTATCTCAGATGAGGTCGCGGTTATTTATAAAAGTACTCTTGAACGCGTGGGTAAATTCTTGTTTATCATCTTAATTTGTGATTATATCTGCACTCCAACAACATCAGATGTAAAGGGTTTTTCAACAAGAACTTTGTTTTGTAAATGAAAATAAAAGATTAAATTTAGATGACAATGATTAAAATTTTTATTGTATTAAAAAAAGTAAGGTTTGGCAATTATGAATGAAAAATGACATCTGAGAAATGTCCATCATGATCATGTGATGTAACACCGCTGGATTATTTTTTTATGGGATTATGTTAAAGACAGAGTCTATACGGAGCCAATCGAATCGATTGCAGCCGTAGAAATCAAAATTCGTGAAGTGATTAACGAAATAGACCCACCATTTTGTCAAAAAGTGATTAAAAACTTTGATGAAAGAATCGATATCTGTAACTGTGGTCGTGGTGGACATTTATCAGATATCATTTTTCAATCATAATTGCCAAACCTTATTTTTTTTTAAGACAATACAAATTTAAATCATTGTCATCTAAGTGATTAAAAACTTTGATGAAAGAATCGA